CCAGGACACCTTATAATACACTTGTCAGAGATTTCCATTTGGGAGAGGAAGGCTGCTCTATGGGCAAGGAGGTAGAAAGAAATCAAATATGTTACATGCCTCAGGGCAGAACAGTGTGCAGTGTGTGTAGCATTTAGAGACAGGTGCGTGTGGTCATTAAGAGCAAGGCTTTGGAGTCATACTGCTTGCATTCAAATCACTGCATGTTCTGGGACTTTGGGCAAGTCATTTAACCTATCTGTGTCTCAGTTCCACATTGGTAAATGGGAATACACTACTCCCAAATGCCAGGGTTGTCAAGGAGATTAAGTTTTAAGTTAAAATTGAAACTGAAATTAAATTAAGAGATACAAGGCTTGAGACAGCACATGTTCACTTATGGGACTGGATGAATGGGATGAACAGATGGGAGTGGAAGGATGAGTGGACCTGAGTCAGAGGTCAGAGCTGTAGTTCTGGTCTCTACAAGTGCGGGCGTGGCACTAGGCATTGGTTTCCTCATCTGTCCTGTAGGAACAGGTTTCTGCACCTGAGAATCTGATAGTTCATGGGAGGGAAAGTGTTCAGCAAAATGGAAGAGCACGGAGCTGTTATGGTGGCTTTGGGCTGGGCTTTGTCTATGGCACTGGTCGGGGTGGGGTCCATCTGGGTGGGGTCACATCTAGGGCTCTAGGCTCCCAGGAAGTCCTGTAGTCACCCCTGTTACACTCTGGCAGGCCTCTGCACACTGGTACAGTTGGGGAAGTTGGTCTCTGAGGGTCATGATGCAGCCTGGCTCACGAGTTGTGGTGCTGGTGTTGATGGGAAGGGAGGATCTGCTTGTAAGGAGGGTTCTGGAACCTCAGAGTCCAGAACCATTCAAGTGCCAGCCCTAAGACTCAGAACATACAGTCATCCTAGACAACCTCAGATATTAGTTCACTGCAGAGGGCCTGGGATAGTAGAGAGGACCATCTCTATCTGCCATCAAGCCCCAGGGACCCTGGCAGGGCCACTTCCTCCCTCTGAGATAAGTTACTCTGTGTGAAAAGAACCTCCCTACCTCCCAGGAATGCTGGGTTAATGAGACAGTGGAAATGAAGTTACTCTGGAAGATGATTAAATCCCTTAAAAATAGTGCTCATTTGAATTTCTTCCTTTATTTTAGGCAACCATACTGAGCACGTTCTATGAGTCAAATATTTTATATATACCTATCTCGTTTAACCGACTGTATTAATCATATTAAGCCAAGTACTCTAATAAAGCCCCAGATTTCAGTCGCTTATAGCAGTAAGGTCTGTTACTCACATCTGAATCCAGTACAACTCACTGGCTTGGCATGTGCTGTTGTTTGGGAACTATGTTCCCTTTCTGGGCTTCCCTGTCCTCTACTGGGCTTTTCTGATCCTTTGTGGGAGGCCTTGGGGCCAGGAGAAGTGGTGATCATCATTCCCACCCTCAGTCCACTAGCCAGCACCCAGACTTGGGCCACCTCACCTGACTGCGGGGAGCCAGGGAAATGCAGGTATAATAACTGTGCTCCCAGGAAAAAGCAGACTAGGTCAGGGGACACCCAACACCGCCTCTTCCTGATCCCTGCAACAACCCTCCATTTTACTGATGGAGAAACCAAGGCACAGAGGCAGCATTTTTTGTAAGGCCATGCATGCACTAAGAGGCAGAACTGGGATTTGTCTCCCAGCTTGTTTAATTTTTTCATTGCATCTTCTTTTTCTTTTGGGTCTTACTCTCTGAAGGTACTATCATGTTTTTAGAGCTTTCTTTATTTTCTGTGTTGTCTCATTTCCTGGGGAATTCTATTCTATATATGTGCATGGTGGCTCTCTGAGCAAAGATCTTTTTAATTTAGGGCCTCCAAATATCCATATATGTACAGGCAGAGTACATCATTTATGGGTCTCAATGCAAAATTGAAGTGCAAGATCCTTGTTTAAAAGGCAGGTGAAAAAAGCAGAAAAAAGAGCCTTTTGAGGTGGCACACACCTGTAATCTCAGCACTTGGAGAGGCTGAGACAGCACTTGGTGAGTTTGAACTTAGTGGCTTAAGGGCCTTACCTCAAAATAATTAATTAATTAAAAAAAACTTTTAGTGCTCAGTGGCACTGCACCTGCCCCACAAGCACAAGGTCCTGAGTTCGATCCCTCGTACCAAAAAAAGATTTTTTTTTTTCAAAGGCTGGGGATGTTGCTAAGTTAAGGTCCTGGGTTCAATACTCAGTACCATAACAAACACCCCCTCCATAAGAAAAGAAAGCCACAAACTATTAAAAAAATACTCTTCCCTCTTTTCTGTGAGATCTCTCATCCTTCCTTTTCCTTCTCCCTCTTCCTCTTTCTCCCTCTTCCTCCTGGGACAAGTGCAGACCCTCACAGGTGGCTCAATGTAGAGCCCTATCCATTCTACCCCATTGTCCCTGAACCCAGCCCTCTCTCTAGAGTGGAGGGTGGTAGTGGTCACTGTGTGGCCTCCAAGGTAGTAGGAGACAGGACCATGTGTGACCTGAGGCTGCAGGCCCCCAGTACACGATCTACTGTCTGCTGCTCTCCACATACACACCATAAATTCAAAGATGAAGCAATACCAGAACCCATACAACAATCACAGTGCAGCAAACCCCTAGGACAGAGTCTCTTACTCAGTGCTGCTGGTAGCATGTCCTTGGAGTCTCTTCATGGGTTGTTTTTTTGGGAGCATTCGTGTTTCCCAGAGAAAGGGTCACCATCCTCCTGTCTTGCTTCCTGGGGCTGAATGCAGAAAGGCTCCACCACTGGGCTGCTCTGACCCTTCTCTGCAGAATAAACTTCCATCTCCCGAGCCGGGGCATAGAGCTTTTCTGGTACAGAGCCCACTTACTTTCTGCTGAGCCCCATCTGGGACACATGGGGCTCACTGCGGCCTGCCATGGTGTTGCTGGTCATTCATTCGTCAGCTCTCCACACTCAAAGCTGTGTGCATCTCCTGCCTGCTTGCATGAGGTCTGCAGCTGGCCTATTCCTTGGCCATGTTCTTCTGGAGGGTTTGGAGGGAAGCAGAGAACCCTGTGCATTGCACCACTATGTTTAACCAGAAATCAGTTGAGTCTTGGGTAGACTTCTATTTTAGAATGTGAGATTCCTTCACCAAACATTTATTAGGCACCTACTGTGTGCCAGGCCCTGTGGAAGGTGCCAGGAGCTGGTACTGAAAAGCAAGTTCCTGCCTCCCAGAGGCTGGACTGCAAACCCAAAGGTGAGAGGACCTAGAAATGGCAATTTGTGATTGGGGGTGATGTAGGGAGGTCACGAGTCTACCCAGGGCTGGGAGTTTCATCTTAGACCAAGCCTGGGCTTGGTGGATGTACTTCAGAGAGAAAAGAACCAGACTTGCGTCATTTATCCCTCTCTGTTACTCGTTTTTTGCTTACTTTTCCACTCACAGTGATTCTGCACTTGTTTTATAATTTTCTCTTCAAACCTGCTTCCCTATTATTATTTTTTTAAAAACTTTCTGCTTCTAATCTTCTTGGCCTGAAATAGCAGACAATCAAGTGTTTGCAGCATATCTAAAATAAGCATTAATTAGGCTGTGAAATAAGGTTTGAGAGACTCAGCTATGCGTATAAAGTATCAACTTTAACATCAATTGTATAACTTCTATTTTTACTCCCCAGTAGCCTTCTTAACTTCAGCAGTTTATTTGATATTCCGGATGACCACTGTTGCCATGTAAATGAAACTTTAAACATCGGTGGCTGCAGGTGGCTTTTCCTTCCAGCCCCACTCCCTTCTTGCTCCATTAAAAATGCACCAGCCAAAAGAGGAAAAAAAACCGCACTAGCCTTTGGTTTGCCCACGGTGTTAATTTTTATTTACCATCTGTTCTTGATTCAAAAAGACTTGTTTTATCACATTTTAAAATCTCTAAAATGGAATGTCTTATAATTGATTGGGATCTTGGCATTAGATCACAGTTTTCTTTTTTCTGTGGCACGTGATAGTGTCTTAGGATCGACAGTATTTACTTGATTTGAAAGAACTGACAAATTGTTCTTCCCCAACTTGCCCTTTAACTCTGGCTGTGCTAGAAAGAGACAACATTATCACATATAATGAAAGCAACTTTTTTTCTTCCTCAAAGCTTCTTATAACAACAATAGGAATAATATTATCAGCAACAGAAAGCACTTACAAAGCACCTACCATATGTTGGCGCTACTTCAAGCACTTTTCAGATACCTCTCCAAAAATTCTAGGGTAGTATCATTCCAATTTTAATATATGTGCTGCCGAAGCGAGCACCCCCTTTTTTTTGTACCGGGGATCAAACGCAGGACCTTGCACTTTTGAAGCAGGCAGCAGAACCACTGAACTAAATCACCAGCTCAATTCTAGGTCAGTAACACAGCAGTTATCCCCATTTCATAGATGAGGAAACTGAGGCTCAGAGGCAGCAGTGGCAAAGCCATCAGGGCAGTCCATCTCTGAAAAAAGTTATGTTGCACTCCGTTAGTGATTCTAAATGAAGTATCTTCAGTTAGATGAGGGGATCTTACCTGGCTGTTCCTTCAGATTAACTAGGGAGCTTTAGGGAAACATGGAAAGAATTCTCCAAGTCTTTTTTTGGTTTTTTGAGACAGGGTCTCACTATGTAGTGAGACTGACCTGGAACTCACTATGTAGCCCAGGCTGGTCTCGAACTCACAGTGATCCTTCTGCCTCAGCCTCCCAGTGCTGGGATTACAGGCATGTGCCACCACACCCAGCTTCCAAGTCATTTTCACAGGCTGCTTTAGTAAAGAGTTCCTGGCTGCATGATCTGTGTGTGACCCGCTAGCCGTGCCATTTGGGATCCAAAGCCTTCTCACCCTCTGAGGCTGGTAGCTGCTAAGCCTGGGCTGACAAGTACAGCAGGAGCATCTTAAGCTTCTGGAGTGGGATTCTTCAGTTAGAAAATAAGCCTTCCAGACTTTTAACTGATGTATTTGCTTTTAATTTTTATACCCCCCACTCTCTTCCAGCTCTGGAGTGCACAGAAAATCAAGCAGGTAAACCAGTTGGGGATTATTTTCTCTCCTCCATGCTTTCCTGGACCCCTCCCACCCTGTCCCAAGGATCCAGCCCCTTCTCCATACCATGAGGAACTCTCCCTCCCATTTGCCCCTGGCTGCCTTCCCCCTCCTGCTGCCCCAGCACCCAAGGGCCTGTGCTCCTGCAGCCTGGGGCTCAGGCCAGTTGGTCTTTCCCTGGGTGCTCTGAGTTCCTGGAAAGCCAAGCTCTGTTTACAAAATCTTGACTTTGTGCCAGTCAGGGGAACAGAAGGCCCTTGAGGTAGATGTAGTTTGGCCCTCTGTGGGCTTTCATTTCAGTCTCCCCTGCACTCAGCTTTGAGGATTAGTCAGAGGAGGGTGCTATTCACGGTCGATGTATTGGTTTTCTCTTGCTCTGTGGTGGAAAGGACTGACAGAGAAGAAGGCCACATACAGTCACAGATAACTGAGTCTTCCAGGGAAGATGTCCTTTTCCTCTTTCCTCCCCTAAACCCTCTGCTTGCCCCTCCTCCCCTGGCTGTTCCTGACTCTCACAGGCTATTCTACACCCGGACACCAATGAGAAGATCTTCATGCCTTTTAGAATGTCAGGTAAGCTCCTGAGCCCTACTGCTTCTGCTCAGCCTGGGAAGCTGGCAATAGCCAGAGCTGCAGGGCCATCTATCTGTGCCAGTCTGAGGAGGGGATAGAGCCCATCACACGTGGCTACACTGGCACCTTGGCTCAACCGTTCAAGACCAGCCAGACTCAGGACCCCTTGTGGCACTCACCTATTCTTTTCTGCCTGAGCAGTTGGGGTGGAGCTGTGTTTAAATCTTGTGTTCCCTGCTTACCCCTATTCAGTGATCAGTAGAGGGGCATACACCCTGTATGTCTGGGTTTTAGGGCCTGGAGAGCACCTACCTGTGCATATGCTGGGTGGGTCTTACACGATTGTCCGGCCCATGGTCCTGAGAGCTTTTAGGGCTTGCCCAGAGTCATTCTGCAGAGGGTCACACTCACAAGTTTGCTGATGCCCCCTCCTTGCCATTTCTCCACTCAGTGGGTAGTACCAATCTTGAGTCACATGGATGGTGTGGAGGGCTGCCTGCTGCTGCCTTGGGAAGGCTCTCAGCTGGAGAAAGAGGCTTCAGTCAGATGAGTCAGTTGGAGCTCCATCCCCAGAGAGCCTGACCTTGCTGGGGAGAGAATAAACAGCTAAGGAATGGAAGATCATGTGGACCGCCTAGTGCTCAGTGATCCCTGACTTTGAGGAGCAAGGGCTCTGAGCATGTTGGAGACAGCTGTAGATGTTCCCTGGGCCCTCAGGTGTCAGTCACTCTTGGAGCCTGGCTTCTCTTGTTTATTTGTTTGAAATGACCCAACCCTTTGCCAGTTTTCTCCCATGCAATTCTCTCTTCTCTCTTCTCTCTTCTCTCTTCTCTCTTCTCTCTTCTCTCTTCTCTCTCTCTCCTTTCTTTCTTTATGGTGGGTACCAGGGATTGAACTCAGGACCTTACACTTATGAGGCAGGCAATGGAATCACTGAGCTAAATCCCCAGCCCACCTGGCTTCTTTCGTAATTCTGAACCTTTTAAAATTATATATCCCTTTGAGGCCCAACCAAAGTTAGGATCTCCTAGCAGAAGGGAGCAGGTAGGTGAGTGAGGGCTCAGGATGTAAGCATTGGCTTAGACACATCTCAGGAGAGCATGCTCCCTGCTGCCCGCCCACCAGCCGACTGGCTGCTTAGGTCAGAGGCTGGGGCTGAGGGGCTGATTGCTGTCAGTAACAGGGCTGGCACAAGCCTTGCTGGGAGGCCACATGCAGTGAAAAGCAGGTATTGGGGGCCTGATCATGTGCCCCGTGACGCTGTCCAGCCCACGCACTAGGGAGTTAAGAAGCTCTGGCACCTAGAGGTGTCCATCGCAGCAGGACAGGGAATTCTCATTCCCAAAATGGTCTCAATGCTGGAAGTGAAAAGAAACAAGCTGAGGAATCCAAATTCTTAGACCATCAGCCTGGTATAGGGCCTGTGGGCAGAGGGTGCAGTGCCTCCTGCAGAAAATTGCTGAATACCCACAGAGGGCCCCAGGTAGTAGCCTTGCCTGCAGGGGAGTGAGAGCACTTGACTACTGAGCAACTGAGAGCAGGAGGCTGGGGACTCAGGGACCTCTGCTGTGGGGAGGCAGAGCTGGGGAAAGGTCTGAGGGGCAGGAGGTGCCTCCTACCTGACTGTCCTGTGTCTCTTTGCCAGTGCCAGTGATTACACCAAGCCTGGCAAGCTTCTGGTATCTTAGGTGACACCTGACTCTTCTCTTTTCTTTCCCCACTCAGGTTACATTCCTTTTGGGACGCCAATTGTAAGTGTTGCCTTCACAAGGATTTCTTATCTTACACACATTTTTGAATATATACCATTTTTCATAGAGACTTGACTGAATTTTTTATTTAGCACAAGTACCCAGAGGGGAACTACTGGATAAAATTATGTCCATTTTTCTATCACTTGCTATGCACTGATGGGATCACCAAGCTACCTTGGTAAAGGTGTACTGACTTCCTCCATCCATGAGGTGGAAAGATCCTTCCTCCCTGCATGTTCTCCACTCCCAGAATTGGCAGGAAAAATAGGGAAGTTTTCCAAAGGAACAGGGACAGTAAGAATATATAGGAGTCTGCTGAAAATTAAAATTCAAAATTGATTCAGAGAGGGCTTTTAGTATTCCTTTTGTTCAGTTTTGGAATCAAGTTTAGCCTGTGTTCATTACTTTTTTTCCCCGTGTTAAGTATTTCATGTTATGAATATAGATAATCTCAAAAATGGTATTGAATGAAAAAATAGTAGCAGAGTAGTAATGCTCTCTGATGTCATTTAAATCAAGTTTAAAAATATGCAAAGCAATGTTATATATAGTTTGTGAATGTATTTCCTATGTATCTGTGAAAATATTCAGCGGAGCAATAATTCATAGTGCTGTTCACCTCTCAGGGAGAGAAGGTGATGGAATCTAGCAGGGAAAAGGAGGTACTTGTTTTGATTTGTGCTATTTCATCTTTTAGAAAAGGCAATTTTTCACAAAAAATTTGAAAAATGATAAGACTTGGATGCTCATAATATCCTCTAGACTTTTCTGTATGGTTTAAATCTTACATTTTATACATATATTTTTAATTTTAAAAATTATTTCTCCAGATTATACTTTTTAATTTTAAAATGTTATATATTTAGGGGATACAGTGTAATAATTTGACATCTGTATACAATTCATAATGATCAAATCAGAATAATTATCATTTCCTTCTCTTCAGATACTTAGCATTTCTTTGTGTTGAGAACCTTCACTCTTTTCTTTTTTTTCTTAATCAAATCTATAATGAGTTACTGTGAACTGTAGTTACCCTACTGTGTTATATATGTGCTGCCGAGGTGACCACATCCTCCTTTCTTGTAGAACAGTAGAACTTTTCCCTTTTACCTAACTGTATACATATATTTCAATTATATATAAATATATAGAGAGAGGATATTATTCACATCTTTATCTGTATGTGGTTTCCCGGAAGCTATTATACTCTTCTGAAATATTTTGAGAAAGGCTTATAAATTCCTCACTATAATTGTGCATACTTAATTTCTTTTCATTTCTTGTATTTATATATTTCAGTGCAGTGGCGTTTGGTGTGTTCACGACAGTTTTGTTTTCTTGATGTTGTCATCTTTCTCACACACATGAAATGATCTATGTTTTATTGAATATTCTTGCCTTGAATTCTGTTCATTTATATTAATATTTCTATCCTTATTTTGTTTAATCTGTTTACCTTTTGTATCATTGCATATACATTTATGTCAGAGTCATTTAATTTCTGTATCATTTTGTATTGTGGGTCTCTTGGATGAAAATTGTTCAGCTTTACTTTTTTATTCAATTTGAGAAACATTATCTTTAATTTTAGTAATGATGGAATCCATTTGTATTTGTTTTGCTGCTGGTTGTTGTGACCATTCTAGCCATCAAATATTTGAGTTTCTTGCTGGTTTGTTTACTAAGTTTTGTTGTTATTCCCATTTCTATTAATGATTTGTACTAGAGTGATTGTTTTAATTAGTCCTTTCAATTTCTTGGGAAGTTTGGAAAGGGAGCATCCTAATTCACTATAGTTGCCATTCACCTCTATTATTTCACAGCACAGAGAGGTTGCATTTTATTTACATATATATTACAAATATTTAAAAAATAAAATAATAAATATGATTTCCCCAGCCTGGCTCACATAGGCAGAGACTTTTAGCATACTGTTTTACTCTAGTCTTTATTTGTCATTTAAGCCCTATCTGCCCACCAAGGTTTCAGAAATAACCTAGAATTTCATCCGATTTATGAAGCATTTATTAACAGCTATCTTAAATTGCACAGTTACTTAGGCTTTGTACATTTTGGGTTTGGCTAGAATACATTTTTAATAACCTTCCGTGTATATGGACAAGGCACTTTCTGGACCCTTGGCTATCTGGAAATGTCTGTTTTCCCCTTTCATACATGAACAATAGCTGGCCTGGTTATGTTTTCTTTTATTAGTAAACATTCCCCTCTCCCTGGAATCATTTGATATTTTTTTTCTCTTGTCTTTGGAGTTCAAAAATATCTCTAGGATTTTTTAAAAAATCCCCGTATGTTTTATAAAATTATTCAAGTAATGCACGAATATGTTCTTTGGGATTCAAAAATACCTTCAAGAAATTTTTATGTAGAATATTTTAAAAGTTCTACAAGTAATACAGGAATGTCCTCTTTGCTCAGAATTTAAATAATACAAACAAAAGTCTCTCTGAGAATTCTTAGTCCCAAATCTGTGCCCAGACATAACTTCTTAGAAGCTTGGTGTCAGTTTCTAGCCTTTACCTAGGCATATGTGTGTATATGTAAGTCTTGTTTAAAAGTGTTTCCTTAGGGCTGGGCGTGGTGGCTCGCACCTGTCATCCCAGCACTCTGGAGGCTGAGGCAGGAGGATCACTATATGAGTTTGAGACCAGCCTGGGCTACATAGTGAGTTCCACGTCAATCTCCACATAGTAAGATGCAGTATCTAAATAAATAAATAAATAAGTAAATAAATAAAAGTGTTTCCTTGGAGTCAGTCACTACAACTTGTGCCTGTAGTTTCAACTACTTAGGAGGCTGAGGTAAGAAGATCACTTGAGCCCTGGAGTTCAAGACCGACCTGGGCAACATAGGGGGATCCAGGCCCCCCACCAAAAAAACAAAACAAAGCAAAAGAGGTCTAGGGGTGTAGCTTCATGGAATAGCATGTTTAGTGTACACACAGCCCTGGGTTCTGTTTCTAGCACCAAAAACAAAAACTACAACACACAAAAAACAGGAAAAAATGTTTTTGTTTTGTAAAGATGTTCATTAAAAACATAGCAATATTAGAGAAAAAATATGAGAAAATGAAAAAATGGAAATAAAGTATTTGTAAATAGGGAAGGGAGGAGGGGGAAGGGGAAAAAATGAGAACCAAGGCCTGTCATGTAAAGGTATAAGATCCCAGTGATGAATGTAACTGTACTGTATACCTAGAATGTACCAATAAACTCAATGAGAAAAAAATATAGCAATATTTTTATCCACCATTAGCTTATTACAGTTGTTACATGCATCTGTTTTTCTGCTGAGTAGTGTGCTGTCCCCTCATTTTACATTGTTTCTGAGTATTTACTATTATAAGCAATGATACTGTAACAAATCCTCCTAAAGCATGAGGATTTCTCCAGGGCACCTTGCAGCTGGCGAGCCTGCTGCTAGGAAGGCTGTACAAGTTCACTTTTCAAACAGATACTGCTGAATTTCCCTTCTAAAAGGCAGAATTTCCTCATACCTGTGAAATGCTGGTATTGATCTTTTCGAAGTTTTTACCAATCTGACTGGGGAAGGCTGGCTTTTTACTATGGTTTTAACTTTTATTTCTCTGAACACCAAAAAGATTGTGATTTTTTTTTCCTCTCAGATATTTATTAGCCATTTCTTCTGTGCACTACTTGTTTAACTCCTTGTCCATTCTTCCATGGGTTCTATTCTTCCAACTTATTTGCAGAAGATATGTATGTGTGTGTGTGTGTGTGTGTGTGTGTGTGTGAGTGTGTGTGTGTATATATATATATATGTATATATATATATACATATATATATTAATCTTTTAAAATTACATATGTATTGCAAATCTCTTCCCCAGCTGCTTTTCCTTTATTCTCTAATGTCTTTGTTATAGAAAACTGTGACATATTGATATTTTTAAATATAATGATTATCCTGCTGATTGATTTTGAGTTTGTTCCCCTCGCTACCTGCTTCTCCGTTGTTAAAATAACCGAATTCATGAGAATTGTATCTACAAATCAACTCATGAGTATATTTATCAATTCGTGTTCTTTATTTTCATTTCTGCTTTTGTTTTATAGTATCTCCCTTTCTCTTCTTTGACTTGTTTGTGGTTGGTTTTCTTACTTTTTGCCTTGAATGCTTATTCTCATTCTTTTCTTTTTTTTTCCTCATTGAGTTTATTGGTACATTTTAGGTATACGGTACAGTTACATTCATCATTGGGCTCTTGTACCTTTACATGACAGGTCTTGGTTCTCATTTTTTCCCCATACCCCTGCCCTCCCTTCACCCCTCCTCCCTTCCCTATTTGCAAAAACTTTGTTTCCATTTTTTCGTTTTCTCATATATCATTCTTTCCTTTTTTTTTTTTTAAGACTATATTATGTAGTTGAGACTGACCTGGAACTCACTATGTAGCCCAGGCTGGTCTTGAACTCACAGCAATCCTCCTGCCTCAGCCTCCTGAGTGCTGGGATTATAGGTGTGCGCCACCACGTTTGGCTATTATTGATTTTTTTGTTTGTTTGGGTTTTTTTTTTTTTTTTGCATTCTTTCCTTCTAATGAAAGTGTTTAGGGCTGTGATTTTTGGTTGTATCTAATGTTTCCCTATATATAGTGATTCTGTTTTGTTATTTTCTAAGTAAGTTTGAAATTCTAGTTTTTAGTCCTCTATAGTCAATTAGTCTGAAGAACACATTTTACAATCTAAGTGACTGAGTTTTTAAAAAATTGTATTCTTTTGTTATAAGTTATTTTCAGTGATCTCTGTAATTCTGCTATTTGGGGTTTATCGAAGCTTTCTTTGTAGCACAGTATGTAATTATAACAGTTAGGAGTAAGATCACATGCACATAACAAAATGTCCAAAGCAGCAATAGCTTAAACAAAATATTTTTCTTATACATCGGAGAGGGTTAATGGTAACCAAAATCCCACTATGTCATTGAGACTCCCATTTTCCATTTTTCTACATCCT